TAAAATGATGTTTATGTATTTATTTATTTGAAAACAAATAAAATGTGATATTCATATGGTTTTTGTATGTGTAGACTTTGTATGAAAAATAGAAAATTTTAATTTTTTATATATTCGGTAAATAAAAAAAAGAGTGTCATGTTTAATATTAATGAAAAAATTTATTTAATGATGGTTTAAAGTTTTAGTTATGTATTAGAATGATTGATCGTAACATATCAACAATTGTGAGGATGCCAACATGAACAAAAAATATGAAAGTCAATAAATTAATCATTATATTTATAACTATAATAAAAGATAATGATATATACATGAACTGACATTGCAATATTTCAACATTAGTTTGATTTTTTTTCTAAAAAAATTATCGTCACCGTGCAACGCACGGTGCACAAAACTAGTGTCAATAATAAATCTTAACGGAAATATTTCTCTTAAACGTCTTTGATGACCCGACGTATTTAGAGTTGTATCAGAAGTTGTTGGCACTACTATTTCTCTTGTGAATTCCATCATACCCAGTAAAACTTCATGGAAACAAACATGAACAGTTCTCGTAGAGCGTTGAATTCTACGTTTAATCACTCTGTAACGCTCGTTATGGCCAATCATCGTCAAAAACATAGTCATTTTCTCTTCGACATTAACATGTCTACTGTCTTTCACCTAATTTCTTTGTCTAAAATGATTGCATAACAATATATGTGCTTCACGTGAGAGACGCATCAACTCTTGACATTGCGTACTAGGTCTGGTTAATAGCTCCTGGGTGTACGCATATCCGCTCAGTGCCGAAGTATTATCGGGCATTCTTTCTATTTTTTCTGAAGCATTTCTCCGTTGTCTTACACACACACACACACACATACACACACACACACACACATATATATATACATATATATATATATATATATATATATTTGGACTACGATCATCATTTCTTACTCAAAAGTCAACATATTTATTCAAATAAAGAGGCATATTGTAAATCCCCAAAAAAAACATTATAAATCCAAAAAATAATGCATAAAATAAACATAAATAACCAACGCTTATCATAAATCCAAGCCACATATATATCATTAATTGTCACCAAAACATCATATGTCCAAAAAAAACGTGGCACCATATTGTCATCCAAAAACCACACAAGTTAGTAACACAAAAGTTCTAAAAATGTTCTACTTCACAAAAGTTCTAAAACATGGCACCTATCTTTACTGATATCCTTGTTTTGCCCCAACTGTTCTCACCCATTCTTTGGCAATTTCAGATGGTATTGTCACCCAAGCTTCTCTATTACGGTTGTCCGTAAGAAGAGAAAAGGCAATACGGTACAATGGATCATTTTTTGCCTACCTAGGCTCGTTAAATTTTTTTAGGCATGACTCATAACTAACAAGCTCAGAGTTCTCATATTTCGATGCCATAATATTTAAAAACTTTATAAGCTTTTCATCAAGCTCCAAAGTGGCATTCGTAGTCTTTTTATGTTTTTGTTTCTCAACCGGAGCACAGGATGAATAAGGTGTTGAAGACACGGGAGGTTGATCACTTGAGACATTG